GCGAGGGAGTGTGCGTGGTCCTCCTCAGATAATCGCTGGGGGCAGGCGGCCTTGCGAATTTTGAACAAGCGGGGACCGGAAAAATAGTTCGCTGATTTTTTGCGGTCCGCTTACAGAAATTTGAAATAATTCTGGCCAATTTTTGGATGAACGATCGGAGAACTGTCGCGGTTTTTCTATAGAGAAGTTGCGGCTCAGTAGCCGCATTCTCGCGGACTTTCCGCGAGAATATGCAAAGTTATTGGGGGCCGCACGGTCCTTTGTGAAGGACCGCACTGCTTAGGGTACCTTCCGCTAAGAGGAGGTACCCCAAACTTGAGCAATTAAGCCATCGATGACACCTCTGCCACATACTCAGACAATCGCCGGGGGCAGGCGGGCACCGGAAAAATAGATTGCTCATCTCTCGCACCCCGCGCGCGGATTTTTTAGAAAGCAATCAGGACTTTTCGGAAGACCGCTTGCTGAGTTGTCGATTTTTCAGAGATTCAGCAATATATCTGCAAAAGATAAGAGCGAAAAAAATTTAACAGGCGGTCTCTCAAAAATCCGCTGACTCAGCAAGCGGTCTTCCGAAAAGTCCTAATTGCTTTGCAAAAAATCCGCGAGCGGGGTGCGAGAGATCAGCAATCTATTTTTCCGGTGCCCCCCCAGCATTGTCTGAGTAGAGTCTCATCTTTTCTCGGCGTACGCCCGAAACTGCGTAAAAAAAGTCCAAGCGCTTGCTGGAGGTTTGACCAGCGCTCGCTGAAAGAAATTATTTGCCGAGCGCTTGCAAAAAATGCTGTTTTGCTGCCCGCTGGCAGAATATGAGACCGTAAAGGAAGTGCCGCCTGCTGAAGGTTTGGCCACGCCCCAAAATTCTGCTGACCGCCTGCAGAAATACGCGAGTTTGCGGACCGCCTGCTTCCGGCGATTATCTGAGTCGAAGCTCGGGCTTTTTTGTTCCGATTTCTACTTTTGCAGTTGTGTTCGAAAGTCGGATGCTCGATAGTTCTAGATCGAGGCTGTAGTACTCAGTTATAATAGTATCTAATTGTTCAAAGCTGCCTGGACGACCTTTAAGTGCCGTTGCGGCTAAATTTTCGCCGCTTCTGCAGGCCAGCCGGAGGATGGACCGCTGTAAGGATTTGAGATCTTAGGGTCGGCCGCTGTATGAGTTAGAGGCCGCGGCTCGCTCAATATACTTATAGTTATTGTAGTGAGTCATTGTAGTCAGTGTAGTTATCGTAGTCAATGCCATTTTACTACAGTGGCATCTCCGGCCGGCCCGCGGGAGCTGCGAAAATCCAACGCAAAGTGCCCGCTGTAGTAGAATAAGAGCCGCGGCTCGTCCGCCCCCGTGTTTGAGCATTAGCTTGAAGCGGATGAAGTGGATGAAATGAATGAAGTGAATAAGTATGGTGCGCGCACGCAGAAAGCGATCACTTGCTCATGATCAAAATCAAATGAAAATTTTGTGCTTACAGTTTTGTACAAAATTTGGTGGTAACCCCACTCTATTGTTCGTTAGCATTTCTAACCGCATAGCCTGCACATGCAACAGAATGTATGTTATACCATTACTAAAATAAACGGGCTAAGGATGTTTACGTGACTTTGTGTGTGTGTGTGTGTGCATGTGTGTGTGTGTGTGCATGTGTGTGTGTGTGTGTGTGTGTGTGTGTGTGTGTGTGTGTGTGTGTGTGTGTGTGTGTGTGTGTGTGTGTGTGTGTGTGTGTGTGTGTGTGTGTGTGTGTGTGTGTGTGTGTGTGTGTGTGTGTGTGTGTGTGTGTGTGTGTGTGTGTGTGTTACGAAATTCGTAGAGCGTATTCCAGAAAATCTCATGGGCTCTTTTGCACAGCGCCTGCTACCAGCATGATAGTCCAACGTGCAAAAGCACGAGCAGATTCGTTGAGTGGAACCCTCACCTGCGCATCGAACAGATCCACTTGGATTGGCCCGCAAAATTGAGTCCGTTTTTCCACTTTTTATAGAGGGCGCCAAAAAGAATGAGTTGCAAAAATGGTCGATTTGCCGAGGTTTGATCCGAGCATTTGACAAGATTCTTGCGCAAGGATGTAGCCCACAGTGATGATCGTTCTTATGGCGACCACCAAAGCAATGAAAAATTCAAAAACCTATTCGAATCTGCGTTTGTTCTTCTGCAAAAAGTTTTAACCACGCAGAACCGAGTTCACATGAAAAAGCTTTCAGAATGAGTGGATGTTTACACTTTATTCGTGACAGTCGGCATTGCGCGGTGAGTTTCTGCCGTCATTATGCGAGATTGAATAAGGCATTCAGGTAGTAGAACCAGTGCGAGCATCTGCGAAGCAGAGTGACGCACTGGTTGGTTTATAGGTCAACATTAGTCTTTGAAAGTGTGAATCCAAACAGTTATTACACCCGCAACTGATGGCACCAATCGTAGTCGCGGACTTCCAGAGGTATCTTACACAACATCAGCACCCTCTACCACTTGAACATTCACAATCTCTGCGCTTGCACCGCTAATAGGCAGAACTCACAAAAGAGGGGGTCCTCGAGGAGACTTTTCGAGCAATAGCTTGTTTTGTTTAAATCTAGATGTTACCATATTACTAGGTTGGAAAGCTTTTTAGTTTTTTTTTTCAACCATTGATATTCCTCAAAAACTAGGGCATAACCCCAAATATTTTGGCTCAAGCTTCGAATGTTTCTTGTATACAATGGCATATACAGGAAGAGCCTAGGACTATTGAGGGCAGAGTTTGTCGCGAAACTCGACCGATAATTTCCACATTTTTCCTATGTTTCTGCTTTGATGATTCACTCTTGATTGCCATGAAATGTTAAGTGCGCGGCAAACCCTTTCTTTATATGGCTGCAGCTGCGCCAAGCATCAAGTGAAAAGGGTGGGTCGTCGCAGCTGGCGACCTCCTCTTCCCTTTCATGACTTGAGTGTCATTTAGTTATCATTGCTTCATCTCATTTAGTCGTGTCTTACATTTACTTTCATATACATTGCCTGTACTTGCTTTCAGTCCAGGTAGACTAAAACATATCAAGTATTTTATCCCTAACGTTTGCCATAATCAGAATCTCATATTAAGCAGGTATTATATTTTGCGTGCAATATCGTTTGTTTGAAATTTATGGTTGTTAACAATTGACGACAATGTGACCCACATGGTGAGTCATGCAATGACCGTGGTTTTAGAAGTTCTATTATGCTTTGTTCCTAGGAATTACTTCCGAGTTTCTTAGCTGCTTCTTAAAATCACTGTAGCGATACTGCAGATGACGGCCTGTTTGATTTCAGATAAAAATACTCAACTCAATGTGAACGGGACTGCCCCACAGGGCAGACAGCTAAAAATGCACGCTCTCGTCAACGTGTTAATAAAGGTTTAATTATCCAAGTTGAGGTATCTCCTCGTGCACAACTCCGTCACTCCAGAGACCCTCGTGGCAGTTGATACTTTGTTGGTGTTATCAAGTGGTATTCGACGGTTGTAGTACTGACTATGAATATAGCTCGTCATTTGTTACAGAATTTTCCATTTTCTGTTTTCAATTTTTTCTTGTTTTCTAAGCATGAAAAAAAGTATAGCAAGCATATCTATGGATAAACGCGTATGCCTGTAACATGCAGAAGGAAGTGAGAGTTTCGTAGGTTTCTTGGGGTGGAAATGGCAATGGCTTTTTTGGCATCATGAGTTGCTCTAATATTTTAGATCTAAATTTTGCTTGAACAAAGAGTCGTGCCAAGGTTCGAAGGTGATCTTCTAGCGCTTTCCTTGCCCTATCGAATGGTGCCCCTCATGCAAGGCTTGGCACACGTGGCTTACCGGGCAAGCTGGATATCGTTTTAGAAGTAAAAAGCAAAGGGGACATCGTTTTTGCCGAAGAGCATACCGCTGTCTTTCGATCTAGCATGTTCTCCCAAACAAGCAAAGGGCTTGTTTACAGCGAAGTGAAAATGAAATGACACCAAACTGGGTGTGTAGATGGGCAATGGGGGATAATACTATGTGCAAAAAATTATGAAAAAGTTATGTGAACTAAAGTCGCGGCAAACATTTTTCGGAGTTAGGCGGCTTTACAGCCACCTGGACAGCCACCTGAGGTGGCTGTAAAAAGAAAAAAATCATAAATTTCTCTTCCTGCACGTAACTTTTTCACATGTTCATCATAACTTTGTTCTACATCAAAAACCCTACAATTGAGTATTTGGATCTCCCTAAACCCCTCCTCCTCGCCTAGTTGCAGCCCTCAAAATATTTTTGTATGGCGGTGGCAAGCCTGCTCCAGGCGCGCAATGGTGCGCGCCGGACACAGCATGCCGCCATTTCGGAGAATCGAAAGATTCAGTTCTTTTTCGTCTGTTCGATGTTACTCTTATTGTTCCATCTTTTTTTTTGTCCGTGCCTGATGCATTCATGGTTGCGTCATAGGTGACGTCGTATTTTTCTGGCGAAGTCTACGGGGACTTCGTTTTTGTAATATTTAAAAAGCCACCTCGTGCCGAGCCCTGTCCTCATGTCCCTCACATATTTTTTGGATTCATGTTATTGCTTTGCTATGAAAAACGACATTCCTTATTTTCCAACGCGGTAATTTCACCGCATGCTATGTGATGCTAACGAAATCTGAATTTCCTTGCTAACCTTCAAGAAACGAAAACCAAAACATCGAATACGAAGAAACTGTATTGCGTGAAGCTGACATGTTGAATATCGGGTGATCGGCGATCATGAACCGATCAAGCATGACGATCACTAACCCATTCGTCAACATATAATACCCGTTTGAAGTCAAAAAAAATGAGTTAGCGAAGGGAAATTCACGAGCGAACGAAAGAATTTCGAATGGAACAACACAGCGTTTGGAGATAATAGAGGGAAAGACGCAAGATAAAAAAATTAGTTGAGAGCAGCTCAATTATCTACAATAACTGCGAGCATGTTAATTTTTCATATTCTAAATTAGACATGTGTACTTTCACTTATTTTGAGCAATATTTGGAAATAATATATACAAACGAACCCGAAAGGTAAATCATGATTCAAGTGAAGGAAAAAGCTCATTGGAAACAAAATTAAGTATCAAAAATCTCTAATCTCTTCAGGTAGGAAATGCTATGAGAATGATTATGATGGCGAGTAGGGTAAGTTTATGGCTAACAAGGGACACGTTGAGGAATATTCACCGAGTATGGCAAATTGACTAGAGCAGCAGATATCGAGGTAAAAATGAGTACAAAGCAGAGGTCCCACGGGGGTGCTCACAATCGCTCTACGCCTAGGGAAACTATGCCGTTTCCAGAACATCGTGGCGGCCGAATGCCTTCATCCAATGTGAAATTTGAAGGCGATCGTTGCATCAGCTCGCCATGCACAGTTTCTATGGAAGACTGACTCCTGCAAATAAACTGGGTAAGTGTATAGGGTAGATCAGGGCTAACACGATTGGTTGGCACAGGGGATGATGTTATTGAACGGAAAAACAAAGGAGCTATCGCTTTTTCGCAGTCCGCGACCGAGCCTCGAGAAAGCTGCAGTAGTATAAAACTTGATAGAAACATCCTGCTCCAGATAAGCAGATAGCTTCATAAATAGCAAATGATATTACTCTAAATCCACTAAGCATAAGCTTGAGGGACGCCGAACTGAATTTAAGCAATGGCGAATTTTTCAGAAAATCTGTGCTTTTGAGTCAGTTTCTTCAATAAAAATTATAGAATTTTCTAATTATACAGTGGTGAGTAAAATTTGTATGAATAGAGGTAACAGGGACTCTGAAAAATTAACCTCAATCCAGTTCCTATTAAGATATGAGGTAATTCTGACGTCGTATCACAAACTTAGGTAACTGAACCTAGTTGGCTGGCACCGTACCAGCTGGGTGCCAAAGCCTTCACCGGCCTCTGTTCACGTAATTTGTCACTTTTCGCAAATAAAGCAATATATTCCGTGGTACATATTACTACCAAAATAGCTCCGTACCCTTTCCTTTCCGCGTTTTTACATAACTAGAAGATTGCCAATGGTAGCAGACCCTGCTCCAAACCACACTGGTGCGTCCCAAATTGCTCAGCTATTGATATGATCAATTTATCAATGTGGAGCATAATGATAAAACATTTTTCTACTCATTTGCCATCAAAAGGACTTTTTAAGAAGTTTACGATCTCAAAGAAGTTCCCCCAAAATTTTAAAACTGTGCCAACTCCAGCCTAGTCTCAACAAGATGGAATTAGCTGCTTTCCCAAAACCCACCTTAACGATCCCGTGTAGCTTGTCCTTGATTGGAAGCCACTAGAAGACGGTTTATTATCGCTCGACTTCGAGCTCATCGCCAATTTTGTTTGGCGAAGAACCTGGAAGAAAGTAATGAGTAGAATATGTGTTACTTGTAAACTGAAGTAGCAGTTCTACCTCTATACTGTTCAAAACATCCCTAGCAGAATCGCCGCGCCTATTCTTGCCTCTCGCTACAGTTTCGTCTAAACTGGCTTCGAGGAAGGTCGACAGGGTGTACACATGATAGTGTTGGAGAAGAATTAGTAAGATGCCCACAGCTACAGAAAGAAGCCCTGAAAAAAATTGATTCGATGGTTTTCTGGCTAAAGAATACATCCAACCTATTTTGAGTTGACAGTTCATCTAATCCTAATTTACGCTAAGTGCGGAAAAGTTGACTTAAATAAAAATCCAAGAGCTCACCAACACCAAATACACAATAGAATGACCACTGGAAGCCCATTTTCATAATGGTTCTATTTCCGTCAGTTCCTAGAAATCCGATCTCGAGTTTGCACGGAGCCATTATTAGATACAGCAGACATGAAAACAGCGCGGAAAGTCCAGTAACGACCATGGCCTGAAAAAAGAAAATTTCTAAGGAAAAAATCCAAAACGAGTCCTGAAAAGCTTACCCTGCAGTAATGATGCGGTACAAAGAGGAGGAAAGCAACTGCCAGTGTCCAGCAAGCAAATGCAAAACTGAAGAGAAGTCGTGTATGAACAAAAACATAAATTTTGCAGGCAAGTAAATAACACCGTAAACGAGATAAAGTTTCCAAAAAGTAGAGGTATTTGATAATTGTATCTTCCAATTTGAAAACCGATATGCTATGTCTAATAACAAATGAGTAATATCTTTTTTAGTAAGGAATACGAGTGTGAAAGACAAAATGATAGTCATTTTTGTTAATTTTATTACCATCATCTGTTTCATATTGCTCTCCTTATAATCAAAATTAGATTTCTTTGAATCTTGAGGGCATACCATTTAGTGAACAAAAGAGGTGTTGATATTAGAATCGATAGAAAGAAAACAATACTAGGCGCCCCCCCCCCCCCGAGAATGGGTCTCGAAATTTTTGAAATTTACTTACATGGATTATAGAAATGTGCAAGTGACTTGTTTATCCTATAATTAGAATAATTTTTAAAGAAACTTGGAATTTCAAATAGCCTGGTAAAAAATCTTTTTTTTTCGGGACGTGGCTGCCGGCACGCTCTCTTTCTCAAGATTTTAGGGGTTATGGGCCCACAAAAATTTTGAGAAGCATCCCAAAAAAATTTCGGAGTGCGTGGCTAAAGCCATGCACGTTCATTTGAAAAGAGTTTTTGCCGCCCCCCCTTCATTTTCTCTCTTTACGACATGACGGGATTTATTACAATTTTTCCAGGCTTTTGTAGCGATTTATAATTTTGGGGAAAAATCACAGTCCATTTAACGAACAAGCTTGTTCATTGTCAGCAATTTTCTTTTCTTTTTCGCTAACTGTACAAAAAATAATAATTCTATCAACCTTACCTCAATGCAGCATGAGTGTAGTGACCAGCTGTTCGATAGTGTCTTCCCCAGTCGAAAGCGTCTTGATTCAGTGAAAAATATTCCAAAACGCTCAGTATAGGATACGGTAATCCTCTTTGGTAGGCTGACCGTAACTCCTCGACCATTGACGAGACTAGAACATGAGCTTCAATGGTTGCAGATAATATGTGAATATGTAAAGTTACCTCCTGATATGTCGAACTTTTCGTTGTAGTAAAGTTGGCTCATATCAATTCGAGAATACGGGTCTGTCACCACCCGATCTTCATCTGAAATTAAAAAATAAATCTTCAAAATTCCAATCACCCCATCTATGAACTTACATCTTAGGGTGATGTTGATGCTCGTCAAACCAACATTCACTCCTATTCTTGCTCGCATTTGTTCATTCACATGCGACCTCAAAGCTCCAATTTTCAATTATTCAAAGAAAATATATGGTTGTTGAGTACCTCAATTGAGCGATGATTTTTGCTGAACCCCCGGTCCATCCTGGCAGGTATAATGATACTGAACAAATAAAGTTAGTTAGTCAAAACCTACAATGATTAGAACCACCTTACCTGCCAATATAGCTCCCACGAGAACAGTGATCGAAAATATAACTAAAGTAACAAGTCGCTTCTGCCGGACACCAGGTAGAATGACGAGGAACGCCAAGTATGGGATAACGAAGATACTCGCAGTCTACAAAAATATATTAGAATGTTTTGAACTTTTAGAACAATTTTGTAAACTGCAAAAATCCCGCATTTTCACTGCTACGTCATGATATATAAATGAAAAATAATATCTGAATTCTTGACATCACAATATTTCTTCCTGTCATGAGTTCTTACCCTAGACTATGAACTTTGATGTACTTTTTACACAAGGTCAAGCCCAAGAAAAAACGATTTGTTCTTCGGTCAATATCGCATACCTTAGACGCTACAAACAACACTTGAGTTTTCGCAGTATAAATAACTAGTGATAAAAGTTAGAATGCGTTTTATATGCCGGCACCATACGCGACATTTGGATGCAGACGATTCTTTCACGAAAATTGAAATAAAAGAGCAAAACCTAAGTTTTCTTAAATTTGTAACATTTTCCTCTTACTTTAAGTGCAAAACGTCTTGAATCACTTTTCAAAATTCTGAGAAGAGTTTTTTCTGAAGTTTTTCACACATGGTAAGTTGTTATCATTCACAAAAAATGGTCTTTTTGCATCACAATCACCATAAATATGCGAATCAGCAATATTAATAAAAGATAGAAGAGCAGGCAGAAATGGGTCGCGTAGCCAAAATCCGGAATTCCTCACAAATTATGTGACTGTACATAATAATACATTGCTGTTAAGTACAATCACAAAATGTTGGAATACAAAGAAATTGACGATTAAAAGGCAAAAATTGCCTTCATGTTTCAACTATGATAAGAATTTTTCCGTAATCCAAAAAAGAATAACACAAATGTTGAATTCCAAACTCGGACAAAAATTCAGAAAATTCAATTTTTGATACTCACAATCATAGCACCAATATTAATATCGGGCATTGCAGCATTGGCATAGTCAGACGGCTCCGCGAAGCCTCCAAACCAGCTCTGCCACATTCGTCTGAAAATTCGAAGCTTACACAAAATTATAAAAAATTAGCACGAAAATATACTACGAGAGGTCAGACCACTGTAATTCATCAAGATATAATCTACATCGCAACTCGGGGAAAGACTTCTTTCAACATAAGAAAGGCTTGAAATGATTTGTTGGAGTAATTCAGCAACAATTAGAATTCTAGCGCTTCATGGTAAAATAACATGAGCCCTTAGGTCAAGGACTGCATAGATCTATAGAAAACATTCTAAAGAATGCTATGTAGAACTAGTATCGCGATGATAGTAGGTGGCTGCCGAAATCACCGCAAACACCTAGTAAAGTGTCGCGTTTTACGAGCACCACAGAGTGGGTTTATGCTCTTTTCGGATGATATTTACTCAAGAAAGTCTGTGAAAAGAATTTGAACGCTGGAAAAGAGGCGGGAGGGTGTCAAACAAATCGCTGGGTACAAAGGCGATGATGGCAAACATCATAGGTTTCGTTATGCTATGTAGACGTTTGCCAATGTGCCTGGGAAAAATTCTCGGGAAAGATAAACTCTGCCATAGTACTCGGGATCGGGGAGTACAAAGAGTGTTCTTGTAACAGGAGCATGCGGTCAGAAGTCGAAACACCTACACACCTACACAGTAAGAATATTTGCTTTCGAGTAAAAATTTCCTGGTAGAAAATGTATGCCAAAAATATTTCCCCAAAGACAGAAACAAACTAAAAGGAAAGTTTGTGAATTCGGACAATTCACACTAGAGAGCAAAAATTGCAAGAAAAAGTCGCAGGATGTAGATAGTAACGTTTATCAATATGCTAATTTGATAATAGTAGTGCCAAACTGTCCTTTCAATGACCGTTACACGAGATAATTTTTTTCAAAAATTAAAATAGGTGTTATGCTTATCTGTTGATTTGGATATTTTTACATTTGACTAGTGCTTGAAGTCTGAAGAAGTAGGCGCATTTCATGTGCAGTAAATGAATGACTAAATATGCGAATAAGAATCTGCATCAAATAGCGATAATGACCATGACATCAGCACTATTTTGTAGTCAAGATTTTCAGCAATGTATGTACCTTGTGCTGTGTAGCCATATCATATTTGCACGCACCAATACTTAAACTTTGAGAAAATATTCAACTCCAAAGTGCCCTAAAGTGCCCTTTACACGTCACCTACATATTTACCCGGCAAGCTTTCCAAAATGTCTTCAATAAATGAAGAAAACTCTAAAAACTCGTATCCTTTGAAATCACTAGTTCCACTGATTTCCTCATCAAACAAATGGTAAATGTTGACAATAAATGGAGATGAGCATTTAGCCTTCCTCAAAAACACTGATATGTAGGATCATAAACTAGAGAGGATTTCAGTCGATTTTGGTATCAATGGAGAGAAAAGGAAGAGAGCAGTGGAGAGGCGTGACTAATTTGAGTGAAATTTTACTTTTATGAATTAGTTTATTTTGAGTGAAATTTTACTTCTAAGAATTAGTTGAAATAGTTGGCACACTGGCTCGAACTTTAGAGAAAAAGGAGAATAAATCAGAGTTGTACAACTTTGCCAGAAAATATCATTTGATAAAGTGATGCACTAAGAGCGAGTAATTACGTTGAAAAATCAAAAAATCGTTTGACTCAATGGAAAAACAATCTGATATGATGTCATGATGTTGATTAGGTTGCTGCAGAAGTCCCTTCCTTTTCAATATAGTGACTTTTTTTCAAAATCGACAGGCCGCTTTATTTGTTTTACTTGATTGAGGAAGCTTTTGAGTATCAGACAGCCACTAAGTTAACCACCAAGTAAAAAGCGAACGAGAAATAGGGATACAAAAACGAGAATAGAGATGTTGAAAAAGAAAATATAGACAAATGACTGCGAGAAAAAAAACAGTTTGAGAAGAAAGCGAATGGCAATGTTATTAGTTAGAGGATTCAATGGCGAAGCAAAAAAGCGAGAAACTGGCTAGTGAAAGGCTAGATGGAGATCTAGAAACTGAAAAGACATCGAGAATTAGCATGACAGCTATGACACAGCTATGCCATCTGAGCGAGTTGTTGTTGATCGTTTTCGCTTTCTTGGGTACCGCACACAAAACGGGGGAATATTTGCAGTTTGTAAATAAAAAGCTTGGCACGAGCATGATACAGATTCAAGGGGGAAGGGAGGGGTGATGAGCTGGGCAGAATCTGCGTCAAAAAAGTCTGTTTTTGCCCACATAAGTCCCAACTTCTCGGGGCACCTACCGCTGCGACTAAGATGGAAAAACTGCCCTTTTTCGTCACAACCACGAGGGTGGAAGTTCTTAGATTTCATGACCACGATTGGAATGCTTGGCGCAACACACAAATGGCGAAGTTTCATCTAGATAACGAAACGACGAGCCCAAGGACGGTCCCGTATTACACGGCATTGGAATGCACGACGCCATCGCGCAGACGTGTGATTCGGGCCTTCAGGGCGATCGTCTTGACTTCGAAGACTCGAATGTAAGGGGCACACAGCCTTGGTTTTCGGGGTCATTAGGTTTTTTTTAATCAAAAGAAAGCCGTAAAGAACCATCTGGTAGAGGCGCTAACACAGCGGCGGGCAGATAACAATCTGCCCAACCTGGGAAAAAGCAGCATTACCAAAAGCGTGACTGACAATATTTTGGCCAAGAATCAAGGTAAACTTCTCGAGATGAAGAATTTCTTATGAAAGGTGAATGAGAAGAGGTGGAACTGAAGGGCAGAGGGAAATCTCCGCCGACAGTTCAAGTCCCTCGAAACGTCGAGACGTAGCGCCACACATTCACATTGTGATGAAATAGAAAACAAGAAAGCAGATGGTGGCAAGCAGCCAGATTCCCATATTATACGCTTTCGCTGACTTGAATAGGAACTCAGTCACAAACAGTTGGAATAGATAGACTTTGGCAGTTCCTTTCGAAACTCATGGTTATAAGAATCATCTTAAGTGCTGGAAAATATAATATTATAGATCTGACTTTCTTATTAGGAAGATAGAGTCCTAATTAAGATACACAAATGTTTTACAAAAAAAAGATCCGAAAAGCAAGAAAAAAGCCACGAAGTATAAAATCTGAGCAGAGGTTTTTTCCAAATTTTGCTGCCAGTATAACTGGTACAAGGCTTAAATGTACAAGATACTGAGTTTGGCATAGTCTCATTGAAAGAAAAAGCACGTTTTCTAATTTTATGCGCGGGAGAGTTCGAGAAGAGGGTTGAAATGTAACAAAATCTTAAGGAAATAGCGGAAAGATCTGAATGCCTGCCAAGATATATCATCAGCATACAAAAAGGTATCAGCTGATTTCAGAAAAAGGGGGTTGGAAAAAATGGTCTCACTCCCAATCAGCCTAGGTTACATACCTTCAGCGGGCGCGAGAGATCATATAGGTTCATTTTTTCACCTGAAAATTGCTCGCTTGGTAATTCTAGTCTATGTTGCTTTAAAGAATTTGAAAAAGATAATGTTTTAAGTGAAAATGAAAGGTAATAAAGCAAAGTTTGAGTATCCCAAATGGCGCTTTCTGGTCGTGTCCATTGCGCTCAATTTTCGTAATTTTCCAAATAAGTAATTTTTTACTTTAGGACATGGTAGTTGAAAACAGTTGAACAATTAAGAGTTTTCCGGTGGGCATTTTCTGAGCCCTTGCTAAGAAAAGGTTGGTTTTATTTCACTAACTGCCTTCAAGTACATCCATGAAATGGAAGCAAAAATCAAGCACAAAAAGAGTAATCTGTAGTCCACCATAATAACTGTGAACTAGTGATAGTTATCAAACTGTAAAGTAAAGAACCATCAAAATGTACTTCAATGGAGGGAATGTTTGAGAATACGTCATCTTTTTAGGAGAAACGTCATCCATCTATTCAGGCTAGAACAGCACTATGAAGTGAGCAGGTGTCGCAACCACTGATCATGGTTACGAAAGAAGAAAGTATGCCAGTAGCAGAATGTTGTCAACAAGTGTCTGTCGGTCAGGCCTTTTGGGGGTAAGAAACACGATTTGGCTAGCCGTGAAGGTGTCATGTATGGAGTGGAAAGCATTCCGTCACCGTATTGCCTGATTTAGCCCCTCGGCCAGTCTCACATAAGCTTACAGTCTCATACAAAGTAATCCGAAGACGAATAAATGGTCTGAGAAGTTGAATGGATTGTCTCTGAGTCACAAAATAGGCTGTGCGCAGTTGGAAGGCAGTGGCGCAAGAAGACCTTGAGGGCAGATTCCGCGTCGCGCTCGGAAAGCAGATTTGCTTTCCTTAACGCCAGATATTACACTGTTATTCTGACCTCTGCTCGAAGATCAACAAATCTAGTTTTAGACTATATCTTATCAGCCAAATCTGCACCTCCGAACCGAATAAAAAACGTGTCGTCGTCGCCGCAAAACCGCGCGCGGTTCCAAGAGTCAGCCTGAGAAAATTCCCCGACAAATTAGTGATATTAATAACTACAGGAAATATCAATTTTTGAACCTGACTACGTGACAGCGATAACTCAACATTGTGCTATATCAGCGCAAATGTGAAGAGAAATGTTTTCGTAACAGCATTTCTCTCCCCCCACCCGATATCGCCCTAAAAACTTTCTCTTCTCGTAGACAAACCACAAATAACTGTTTCTATAAGAACTGCTTCATTTTTTTTGCGCAAGCAAAGAGTTCTTTATTTCTTAGAATCATTGCCACTATAAATTCTAGGAACAAAATGTTGTTTTTGAACTTTCTAAGGGGGAATACATGACTGTTGTGATTTTATCGAACTAATTCGCTCTAGCTAAAAATTCGCTAATTCCAAAAACTTCTCTTTTGTTTTTTTTTGTATGGAGTAACCGTATTCCTTTTAGAGTAAACGAACATCTTTACAAGCAAGCAATTTGAACTCTGATCTTCCAAAGACTAGAAGAGAAACTTGTTACCAAAGTGAAAGTCAATTAACGACCTAAAAAATACAATTTTTGCCCAAAGTTGCTAACTTTCGCAACATTGATAATGTTCA